AAAAAAAATCTTGTTCTACAACCTACTTTGGTGAGTAGTGACTGGGGTCTTGAAAGCTTTTGAGTGGCATCTAGGATGCAACTACTGATCTGCCCTCATCTGAAGCAAAGAGTGAAGAAAATCAAAGGCATCTGGAAACAAGCAGTCCAACGATAAGATGGATCATGAGGACCTCAGCCTTCATGACCCTGAGACCAGAAGAACTAGATGGTGCCTGGCTACCAATGCCAAATACTCAGAAAGGGATCAAAACTGGAGGATAGAGTGGGAGGAAAAATGTGGAGCACAATTCAAAAACACAAAAATGACTGGAATTACTGGTCAGATGGAGACTGGTAGAACTCCCGAGACGATGGCCCAGGGTTACCTTTTAGGCCTGCAGATGGACTCACATCCATAGATTGGCTCTTAGCCCAATAGCAGAAAGACCTACATGCAGAACACCTACCCCCAGGGCAATGCACCTACCTCCTCTAGGGAGATGCACCCCTTAGATCAATGAAACACCACAGGGGCAGGATTCATATAGAGGGAAAGCTGGACAGACAGGAATGCATAGTTAAGAAGGGCACAGGGAGGAGGGAGTCACACGGAGGGGAAGGGAGGAGAGTTTTTTTATGGTTGGGGACGTAATTGGGGCCGTGAAATCAAATGTGCATGAACTGTTTAATGTAAAACAAATTTGCTTTGTAAATCTGCACCCAAAGCACAACCATATGTGTGTGTGTATGTATGTATGTGTGTATGTGTGTGTGTGTGTGTGTGTATATATATATATATATTCATTCTTGTAAACGTTAATCTACAAATCAAACTAGTTTACCTTGCTCACCTAAAACAGCTAATTATTCAACAGCATACATTAGAGCAGAGAAAGATATTTACCAAGCTTATCTAATTATAATGAGAATATCTAAGCTTTTTTAATTTTTTTCTCCATGTAATTCTTTTCTAAGTTTATTTAATTTTTTAATTTAGTTTTATAAAATTGGATAATTAAGGTCAGGGGATTATAGAAAGAGGACAGCTGCTCTTGAACTGTCACAAAAATAAAATACGTTACATCTCTGAGTGAAGTCATGAAGATTTTTATATATAAAGTCTGTATCAGTAATATGTAGGAGCTCTGGTGGCACAGTGCCTAAGGCATTGACTGCTAACCAGAAGGCTGGTGGGTTTGGACAATCTACTCCCATAGTGATACTGCCTCGGAAACCCAAGGAGGGGTTGCTATGAGTCAGATCTGACTCCAAGGCAGTGTGGGTTTTTTTTTTCTTTTTTTTTTTCCTCCGTTTTCAGTAACGTGTACAGGGGAGAACACAGCACACAATGAAAGAAACTTTGGGCCACCAACATCCCTTCACCACAGTAAAAAGTGTTTAAATGAGCAAGAAAATTAACTGATTTTTATTCTGAAATGTATTGTAGCCTTGAAATCTGGCAGAGTGAAAACAGTGTACAATCCTTATCTATTTTGTTTCCTTTATTTAATAGAATTCAGTCACATTCTATTCCTTGCATTTTTACTCAACTGCTTCCCATTTATATTTTCTTTTAGGTTATCTACAAATACCATGATCAACCATAATTATACCCCCAGAAAACCCCAAAACTAACCCAATGCCTTCAAGTTGATTCTCAGTGATCCTACAGGACAAAGAGCTGAACTGCCCCATAGGGTTTTCAAGGCTGTAATCATTACAGAAGCTGACTGCCTCATCTTTCTCCCCCAGAGTGGTGAGTGGAAGCCACTAACCTTTTGTTTAGCACTCAAGCACTTAATCACTATGCCACTAGGGCTCCTCACCATTATTACAGAGAGATAAAAAACTAAAATAATACAAAAAACCTAAATTATGTTCATTTTAGGGAGCTCTGGTAGCATAGTGGCTAAGGCACTTGATTGCTAACCAGAAGGCTGGTGGTTCAAATCCACTAGCCACTCCTCGGAAGGAAGATGTGGCAATCTCCTTTCATAGTGATACTGCCTGGGAAACCCAAGGAGGGGTCGCTATGAGTCAGGTCCGACTCGATGGCATATAACAACAACAACATGTTCATTTTACTACTTAGGGATTGGTACCAAAGCTGTCTAACTTCTTTGTTAGAATAGAAAATAAAACAAAATAAGCCCTTAGACATTCTTTATCATTTACTTCTTTGTGTCTGAAAAAACTTCAAGGAGCTGGACAAAACTGATCTCACTTCATTATTCACTTGAGTTTGCTACGATAGCAGTAAATTTTGTAACCAACCAATTGCTATATATGAGAGCATTCTCATGCCTAACTACTAACAATGGATAGACAACTAAGTCAGATTCTTAAAACTAACACTTGTTATACTTTTAATGAAGGTTTTCAAGTATTTTAATAAGTACTCTTTCAGAATCAATGTAGACAAACTCTATCACTTAAAAACAGAACTGAAAACCAACCTAAGTCTCATGATAAACTCTAACCAAATAACCAACATGCCTGATGTCACTTTTCTTGGCCCTGTCATATTTTCTAAATAAATTATAATGGTGAAGTTCAATGACAGACTTCAAGTTAAAACTGTAAAATTTATTTAGTTACATGAAAGAAAAGCATTTCTGTAGCAGCAATCATTTTTGAGTTAGAAAGAACCTTAGCTCCAGGGTAACTAACTGACTGATATTCTGGCCAACTTTAAAATCATTAACTAGAGGAAATAAGAACATGCCATTTCATACACCTACTTTTTTAATGGTATTTGAGAACTATGTTAAGTTCCTACGGAACAAGATGAAACACCACCATAGCCTGTGACTCCAACTGTTGCACAGCAGGAAAGACTTAGCAAATTCAGCATTGCTACATAGTTTGCCAAACACAGTTGAGACTATGCTTACATTAGACTAAATCTAATGGAAAAATGGCAATGAAAAAAAACTTATAAACCAAGCCCTTCTTATAGAAGTTAATCTCATTCACTTACATTCTCACTGACAATGCATTTTTATTTTATCCCATTTTATGTAAGCTACTGATTTGAAAACAGAAGCTCTGATGCTGCAGTGCCTAAGGCATCTGACTGCTAACCAGAAGGCTGGCAGTTCAAATCTACCAGCCACCCCTCGGAAGGAAGACTGGGCAATCTACTTCCATAGTGATACCACCTTGGAAACCCAACTATGAGTTAGATCCAACTCGACAGCAGTGAGTTTGGTTTTGTTTTTTGTTTGGAAATGCCATATGAATTGGATCAAGTTACAGACTCTGTCAAAATGTAATCCTGCAGGTTTGTACATGTGAAAACAGACCCTCCCCAATGTGTAAGATGGGTTTTTAAAAGAACACAGAGAATGAGAACAGAAATATTTTTTTAAAGATGGAAAAAGAAAAAAAGCAATTATTAGAACAGTATAAATAGCAGAATTTAAAAGGAGAGTCTGAGGAATAATAGAAGGAAATATACAGACAGCCACCAAAATAAGAAAGTATAAAAAACAGATAAAGGAAATATTTAAATCAAAAGGGGTTGGGAGTGGAGAAGACCAGAAGAGACATAAAGAAAGCCTTTAATGAAGCAAAACATCATTGCTATTTAGCAAAAAGTGAGAAACATTAATGTATTACAAAAGCATTGAAAGATGTCACTGAGTTGTACATGTAAAAATGGTTGACATGGTGTATGTTCTGTTATGTATATTTTCACATTTTTTTTAAAAGGCACTGAAAGAGGCATATGATACAAGTCACATATATACATTTTACTTTATTTTTACCTCTAAGCCAAGGAATGCCTGTACACTATTTGTTCTATCAAGACAATCCAAGCAGTTTGTTCGAACTGTACCGCTCTGGCATCTGTAACAAATTCAAGAAACTTAAACAGTATATAATATGGAACAAAAATAACAAAGATAAAATAAACTGAGAAAAGTTAAGGTGATTAAAATGTAGTGCCCACTGTTCCCTCCAACTTTTCTTTATTACAAATTTCAAATATACAGAGAAGTTGAAGAATTTTACAATGAACGTTCATATAACCATTCCCTAGGTTCTATAATGTTAACATTTTGCTATATATTATTTGTCATATATCTATCTGTCCATTCATACGTACTTATTTTTAATTAGGCCAGTAGTTAGGAGCTAAATATATATAGTCAGGTTTATAACTCTATAAAAGATAATAAAATATTAATGGAATTAATTAATCCAAAAGCCTATGAGCCCTAATAGAAAAAACTTAAAATTGTGCTTTGTTCACTAATGTTACCTCAATCTATACACTAAACTTAAATCTTTCAATATTTTTCTTCTTTATTTTATACGTCAAAAGTGAATATTTAAGTTACACTGAAGTAGACATGGTAATGTCTTTTACTTCTGTTGACTAAAATCCTTAGGTCAAGAAATAGTAAAATATTAGTTTTGAGAGAGAAGGGGTACAGAATCAAAGATACCAGCATAAGGCCTGGAGCTAGGTGAATCTTAGCTCTAAGATTTCTAGTTATGTGACTTGGAGATGGCCTATGCCTCAATTTCCTCAAATGTAAAATGGGGCTAATAATATACTGCCTGGCATATACAACGTGTTCAATAATGTAAGCTGCTATTGTTATTTATTGAATTCTAAAGAAAAAGTCTAAAGACAATAAAGGAAGATATGTTATGTATTTAAACCTCGCTTAAAAAAGTAAATTTAAGACATCAATATTGAGAATAATTTTTAAATTACAGTAAAGCTCCAACTTAAAGAACAGAGAAACAGAGCAAACCTTTGAACTTCACTTCCATTGAAATAAAAAAATCCATAATCTAGAAACTTTTGGACTTGAGGTTTTAGAATACTATGTAATTTTTCTGCCTTTCCTCCTTTAACCATTTGATGATAGTCAAAATTCACCATCTGGATATCAGTGGCATGTTCAGAAGCTTTCAAATGACTCTGAAAGTAAAAGACAAATATTCATCTAAATGTTAACTAAATATGATTTAACAATATATGCTATAAATGGAACCTTTCCTTTTAAATGAAAACCTCAGCATGATCTCTTGAAATCTTACTAATCCTATCATAAAACTTTCATTGACCCTGGCAGTAAAATGGAAAATTACTCATTGGTACCTAATAGCATCTTTTCCCTAAAGCCTTACATACTATCCCTGAAAGATTAGGTGATATTGTTAATATCACAGAATTTAAATAATATTCTCATTAGGTTTAGAATATGAAAATTATTTCCAATCACCAGCATTACATTTTTTACAATGAAAATTTAAAGCCACAGATTGAGTCATTCGTACATCTTCATTCAATATACACAGATTTTTTAAAGCTTTACATAAAAAGATATTCAAAGTATTTCGTTTACTAGTAATATTTACTTACAAGTTTAAAATGAAATAGCAAAACCACTAGGTTATTTCTGAATTCTATTAATTAGATTGAACTTTAGAAAATGTTTTCTAACAATTTTGTTTAATTTCAGCTTATAGTTTTATCTAACATCATAATGTACATAAATTTATTATTGATTCACCAAGCATTTATTGGGGAGCTCTGGTAGCATAGTGGCTAAGGCAGTTGACTGCTAACCAGAAGGCTGGCAGTTCAAACCTACCAGCCACTCCTCGGAAGGAAGATGGGGCAATCTACTTCCGTAGTGATACTGTCTCAGAAACCCAAGCAGGGGTCGCTATGAGTTGGGTCCAACTCGACGGCACATGACAACAACAGCAACAAGAAGCATTTATTGAGACTGTTTTCCCCCTTAGACATTTTTGGGGGTTCTTTTTTACTTAAAATTCTCTCATCTGTCCTTAGATATTCATTTGTAAGAGAGGAGGCATGGTATTGCATGTATACAAATGCATTTTCACCATTTAATGTTTAAAACAATGGTATGGCTTCTAGAAGGTAAGCAAAGCAATCAACAGATGAAGGAGGAAACTGCCTGATATTTCTCTGCTAGTGACAGATGAACATTCTGGGGTGAAGAAGTATTCTTCTGCTTCTCTACAACACAAATGACAGACAAGAAAACAGTGCCAATTGCCTTGAAAGCTTTCCATAATCTCAATTTCAGCAACACCAATCTGACCTATTTTCTAACAGCCTCAAAGAGCTAAAGAAAGTTCCAACAAGTACCCAATCATTGTCTAATAAATAATTTACTCCTGCATGAAACTGATTATTGTGTTAGTTATTGATTATTTTAAAATACCATTCTAGCGTCTAAGGACCAGAAAAGAAGAAGAAACGATTATACTTACCTGGAAAGCCTTACTTAGCATATGTTCACCTTCCTTAGACCCAAGCAAATTTACTATTATTTGTTTACCATATAAACTCTTAAGTGTTCTAAAATGCCTATTAAAGAAATAAAGGAAATAAACATATGTCACATGATAAGTCTAAAGGTTTTGTTTTTTCTTTTCCCCAATAAACAAGAATCCATTACTCAACAGAACCTACACGGCAGTATTTTAAACTTAACAAAACTGAAATAATGGGATACAAATTCATTCTATATGGACTCAAAATTCAGAATTTACAGAAACTCTTAGTTAATGCTATTTCCTCTGACATATTGATACTAAGAACTGTTTCTTTCCACTATAGCAGAATGATGCCATTCAACTCCCACCTACCCTGGAACTGTCTGAGTCAGCCAGCTTCCTTCCCCAATGTGTGAGGCTGGCACCGGACTAGCAGAGAGAACACCAACCATCCAGTGTGGCTGGGAAGGCAGCAAGGACAGAGGGCTGCACTTCATACATGAGGATATCACATACTCTGAGTATTGAGGTGTCTCCTTAATGAGCTCTAGCCTTAAGATAATTAGGCCTAGAATATGGTCTCTTTTCTCTCTACCTTCCAACCATTCCAGAAGCTACAGAACAATATTGTCCAAGGGAAATACAAGGCAAGCCACATGTATAATCTTAAATTTTCTGGAAAGTATATCTTAAAAATATAAAAGAAACAGAAAAAGAATTAAATATATTTTATTTAACTCAAATACCATTAAAATACCATTTCAACATGTAATCAGTATAATACAAGTGTAAGTGAGATACATTACATTCTATTTTGTTACTACGTCTTTGAAATCTGGTGTGTATTTTATACTCACATCACATCTGAATTTGGATAGCCACATTTCAAGTACTCGATAGCTACCTACTAGACAGCATACCCATAGAGGAAGTTTTTTGTTGTTGTCGCTGTTTAATATATTAATGCATCTTTATTTTTATTGTGATTTGGATGAAAGTTTACAGAGCAGATTCATTTTCCATACAGCAGCTCACATACACTTTGTCTCATGATAGCGACTGCAATTTCCCACAATGCAACAGCTCCCCTCCCTCTTCTTCCCCATAGTTACCACTTTCCTGTATCCTTCCCTCCCATGCACTCCCGCCCCCCAAGCTTTCTCCCTGTGCATACGCTGCCCTTCTATTCTCCCATGACTGATCTCTCCAAGAAGTATATCTACCTAATGTAAATGCTCAGCTCATATGTCTGTGTTTTGTTTGGCTGGAAGCCACAGGAGTGAGTTCAATTCCAGACCTAAAGGGCAGCTAGGGGCCCTAGTCTCAGGGGTTCCACCAGGCTTTATCAGATCAACAAACCTGGTCCCCACAGAAGAAGTTTTAAAGTCAAGAGATCAAGATCAACACATTCAGTACTACCATTTCTAGAAGTTACAACACTAGGTGTCACTGGCATCCAGTTACATCACTTGTTTTGGTTACCTAGTGCCACTCTGACAGAAATATACCACAAATGGGATGGTCCTAACAAACAGGAGTTTAGCCTCTTAGTTTGGAGGCTTTAAGTCCAAGTTCAAAGTGTCAGGCTCTAGGGGCTGGGTGAAAGCCCCTCAACCTTAAGGTCCAGTTCTGCCTCCTGCTCCCGGCCCACTGGAGCTACAGGTGTTTCTTCACTCAGACAGCTGCTGGCTGTAGAAGCTGAGAAGCCCCAAAGTTGACAAGTAAAAAGGCACAGTCCCGATATTACCAAACCACACAGCAGGCCATTAACTTAAATCCATTGTAAGTCCCAAGGTCAGCAGAGCATAGCAGGCTGCTGAGCAATGACATGGGCTACATGCAGGGTCCAAGCGTGCCATAGGCTAGAGATCATTCCCAAGGCTTCCTCTTATATACAGGAAGAAGACCACATCCCAAAGGCAGCTACTCAGCTGCTTGTGGTAGATCCCACCATGGAGATGACTGCCAGTCTCATCATGGGGAATAACTACCACCAGCTGCCCAGCCACTCAACCAGGCCCAGCCAAGTTAACACACAAACATAACTACCACATCAGTCATAAGGAATTTTACTTACAGCCAAAACAGTTTAAATAAATCAGTAAATATAACTAGTCTCATTGCTTAACAATATCAAAACTTACAGCACTATATAAAAATAATCAGTCCTACCTGTCAAAAGCAGGTGCATTGGCTTCAAATCCCCTTGACATACGGACACGATGGGATCCCACCTTGGACAAGAATAATAAATTAATTATATAAAAAACAAACATGCAGACAAAAGGGATATCATTTTTATATGAACCAATTCGTTTGCTGAACACACAGTAAATTAAATAATTGATTTTCATTCATGACATTCTTTTTAAAAATTTCTAGGAGTTTCCTCTCCCTTTTATTTTTGAAGCAACGTCACAAAAAAGAACTAAATGTTACACCATGATGAAACACTTATAAATTAACAGGATTTTTATTTATGAAGCTTATTTTTAAGAATGCTTCTCATAATTATCTTGTTTGAAACTCAAACTACATGCCTTATGTAAGTTAACAAATATTAACATGACTTGGGCAACTGAAAACTAAAATACTGAGAGATGAAATAATCTGCCCTCTTGGATCAATGTAACAAATTCCAAAACAGATTCTGATGAGAATCTGAATTCCTACTCTTTCTACTCTTCCAAGCTCTCTAAAAGTGCAAAACCAAACCAAACTCACTGCCGTGTAGTCGATTCTAACTCACAGCTACCCCTCCTTGGGTTTCCGAGGCGGTATCTCTACAGAAATGGATTGACTGGTCTTCCTTCTGAGGACTGGCTGGTGGGTTTGAACCGCCAGCCTTCTGGTTAGCAAACGCCTTAGCCACTATGCCACTAGAGCTCCCAAAAGTGCAAGTGATTTTTCTCTCCCATGCTGAATACTGGGAGCTCTGGTAGCATAGTGCCTAAGGCATCTGACTGCTAACTAGAAGGCTGGAGGTTCACACCCACCAGCCACTCCTTGGAAGGAAGATTGGGCAATCTACTTCCGTAGTGATACCTTCTTGGAAACCCAAGGAGGGCTTACTATTAGACGGATCAAACGATGGCAGTGAGTTTGGTTTCTTTTGGCAATAGTCTCTAAAGTATTAAAATTTAAAAAGCATGTGCCTCGGGACATTAAGCATTTTAGACTGCAAGAAACTTGGGAGGATGACACCTTCTCTTTGGAGAAATCTCAAGTTAATTGCCTATAACTTCCTAAAGGTTCATGATTTAGAATTTTGTCTTAATGACTCATATTTATCTTACAAAGTACTGTGACTGTCCATATGGTAAAAAAATACAAGTTGCCATGTTTTCCAGATACATGCCTGTGGTTGTTCCTTACCACTCTGCCATCTAATACATATACACATCTAGCTATATATTGTAACCCTCATATCAATATCCTGGTTAGACAAGATTAGGTTTTATTACTTGATGTTAAAGAAAAAAGTCAATAATAAAAGAGCTGTTAGGTCCATTGTGATAAAAGTCTTACTCCAGAAAGCTATTTTAAGAATTTCAATTATCATAAATTCACCTAATTAAAAAAATATATATACTAATTTACACTAAAAATATTTTTTAAAGCCACAACTAAGCACCTTGATGGAATGAGTTTTTGGGTCTGCGCTGGGGACCATGGTCACACAGGACATCAAGTTCAATTGGTACAACACAGTATACAAAAGTATTATTATTCTACATCTTATTTCAGTGAGTAGCAACTGGGGTCTTGAAAGCTTGTGAGCAGCCATCTAAGGTGCAACTATTGGTCTCTCCTTATCTGGAGCAAAGAAGAGTGAAGAAAATCAAAGACACATGGAAACAGTCCAAAGGACTAACAGACCATGAGAACCTCAACCTATATGACCCTGAGACCAAAAGAACTAAATGGTGCCCAGTTACCAATCCCCACCAAGCAGAAAGGATCAAAACTGGAGATCATGGATAGAGTCGGCAAAAAATGTGGAAGTGTGGTGTAGTAAATTACATGATATGGCTTTTCTAGCTATAGTCTTTGATAACTCCTGCTTTGCCCTAAACAACTGAGTAGCTGATGGTTAAAGTTATTCATCTGGTGTATTTCTCTTGGAGCAGCAGGAAGCAATCTTCTGGAAGTTCACTCTCTGTCAGGGTATATAGAATTCTGATGTTGGGATTGGTTAGTTCTGCTACTCTGCCAGGCTTAAAATGCCCTGGAGGCAGAGGGAGTCTCTCTGATTGCCAGCTCAGAGAAACGTGCTGCTGAAAGAGATGTGCCACTGAGAGAGATGTGAGAGACATGCTGCTGAGAGAGAGAAGTGGTACTGAGAGAGATGGCCGGCTGCTGAGAGAGACAGCCAGCTGCTGAGAGACAGCTGGCTGAGAGGCTGAACACATTCCTGAACTTGAATTGTAGCCTGCAGCTTCCCTAATAAACCCCATAATCTGTGAGTTCTGTGAGGCCACTGGAGCAAATTACTGAACCCAGCAGAGAGGTGATGGATGCTGTGGGAAGAACGGTTGGTGACAAGGTTAGTAAGATGGCTGGAGGGTGGTGGCATGTCTGGCTTCATAAGAACAGGCCTTGGGCGGCTGATGGTGATTCTGTCTTCACCTTGTGGAGTCAGAGGAGGTCGGAAGGTGCCACCTCCTTGTCCCTGTGGCAGGAACAAAATTCAAAATCATAAAAAAAAAAGACCAGGCTTACTGATCTGACAGAGATTGGCGAACCCCTGAGATTATGGCCCCATGTCACCCTTTGGGGCTGGATTTGAACTCACTCCTGTGGCTTAACACTCAGCCAAACAATAGACAGGACTATGAGTTGTACACTTACACCAAGGAGATACACTCCTTAGAACAATCAACCATGGGAGATCAGAAGGGCAGCATTTGCACAAGGAGAAAGGTAGGAAACAGGAATGCATAAGCAAGAAGGACACAGGGAAAGGATAAGCACAGGGAGGAAGCAGGAGGAGAGCTGACACATTGCAGGGGATTTCCCCAAAATGACAATAAAGTTAAAAAAAAAAAAGTTTAATTGGGTGGTACAGAATATCACTTTCCATCAATATTACTGCTTCATGTTCACATACTTCTGAAATTTCAACTCAATCAAAAATTGAGTGCTCAGCACAACACTAGGCAAGACTTCATACTTACCATCTTTTTTTTCCTTTTTTGTGATTTGGGTGAAGATTTACAGGGCAAATTCACTTTCCATACAGCGGTTCACATATACTTTGTTTCATGACACCGACCACAGTCTACCACAATGTAACAGCTCCCCTCCCATTTCCATCCCATAGTTAACCTCTTCTCTGTGTCCATCCCTCTATGGACTCCAGCCCCCTGAGCGGTCTCCCTGTGCATAAGCAGCCCTTCTTTCTCCCAT